GGGAGGTATCGATACATGTAGCAGTGGAGCTTGTAATTCTAGTGGGCTCAAGAAACAAGTTAACAAGATTGTAAGATTTTAATAACAGATTGAATTTTTTACTAATGGAGGTATTTTCTAGTAATTTTATATTGAAGTCACCACATACAATAATATACTAAAAATAAATATATATTCTTAAAACTAACTTTACACAAAATTTCCTCCAACTTTTCTTCAAAAAAATCGTAAGATGCACTTGGTGGTCTGTAAACACTTAAAATAATGCAATTCTCAATCTCTATACAGGCTACTTCCAAAGAGTGTTCTACAGACACACACGATGTCATTACGCTCTTTATACTTAAAATTTTTATTAACAATAACACGGGTCAACATGAAATTTGACTTTGATTGCAAAGCATTAAATTTCGGTAGTTTAGGTCGTAATAAGACGGAAAAAAAATATATGGCATGAAAACCTTTGCTTTTGTGCTTAGAAGACTGATTGAACGAAATTTTTAAAAATCTCGGATTTTAATTTTTGATTGAAAATAAAACTATTGAAATAAAAATGTTTATTATTTTTATTAAGTTTTACTATCAAATTAGCTTACAGAAAAGTGGAAAATAACTTAAAAGTGCACACTTTTACTTTTTCTTTTATGTTCATAGCTACTTTCTCTCAATAAACCCCAAATATAGTCGCCCATCATGTTTTCATTGTATTGGCCTTGACAGCGTTGTTCAAAATTCATGATGTCCTGATGGAAACGTTCTCCTTGCTCTTCGGAATAGGCTCCCATATTGTTTTTAAATTTATCCAAATGAGCATGCAGCATATGTACTTTTAATGACATCCTGCAGCCCATGGCCTTAAAATTTGTAAGCATATCCTCAACCAACTTTTCGTAGTTTTCAGCTTTATTATTTCCTAAAAATCCAGAAACTACTGCTTTAAAACTGTTCCAACTTGCTTTTTGAGTACGATTCAGCAACGTTGGAAATTTTTCATCGGCGAAAATCTGTCTTATTTGCGGACCAACAAAAACCCCAGCTTTAACCTTTGCTTCCGATAACTTCGGATTTTTTTTTTTTAACTATCACAAAAGCAAACTTTATACCGAAAAAAGGTATTTTCTTTTAGTTTTTGTGCATAACTAACTGGAAAATAATAGTATAAACTTTAGGACAAATAATGAAAATTTTTTTGTTGTTTTTTTGTGTTTGTTTTGCCGACAATTTGCAAAACGAACTTGCAACTTGGTGCTGATCAAAGTTAAAGATGATTTGGCATTCTCTAAGCCAATGTTCGGTAATGCATAGGATATCAATTTTACTTGATTTTTAAAACAACTCCAATTCTAATTCTTTGCCCAACATACCTTGCATGTTTTGATGCATCAAGTTTAAACAGTTGTTGTTAGTCATATTACTTGTTTGTGTTGAGCTGAGTTGTACTAAATTATAGTTAGAGTTTGCCTCTATTGTCACACTATCTAATTTAAATTATAAATACTTAATGAAGTGTTACTGCAAGTATCACTACATTCTTTTAAGATGCTAAGCTGCTCAATAGAAGCAGTTGTCTGAAAAGCTAAATGTTTAGCTTTAGTTGTAAATAAAAAGTAAGATAGCATAGTAGCTATCTGTTGTAAATAATAATAAGTTGGCGGAACCTATCCTTTGTCAATACATACAGGTAAATTAGCTTGGAGAAATTTTTGCGTTTGTAGTAGTGTATGGTCAGCAAATAAAAAAAAAACAACATTTTATTTTTAGTTTTTATTTTTTTAAAGGTAATATACGTTTGTGGCTGGAGCACACCAAATGCGTACACGTCTACGCATACGCACTACGTACTAATACGGACGTGAAAATGTGTATCCACTGCATTGTAATCTATGGAACTGTATGAGGCAGATAAGCCAGTTCCAAATATTACAAGCAGTGAATGCCGGTTTTCACTTCAGTGAAGACGTGTATGAATTAGGTGTTCTCCGGCCATAAATGTTTTATTCTAATAATTCATCAACCCCAGGCATATCACAATCATCCCCATCCTCGCTTTCATCAGATGAATTATTTAAATTAATTATGATTCGTTCTGATATTGTGTCTAAAGCTGCGTCTCTACCCTGATATTTGTTTTCCTCCTCAATAGCATGCAGACAAACTTTTCTCCATTCCTCTACAGTTATGGCGTTCATTTTTTCTTCAGCTAATGACATTATAACCTTCATATTCATTGCGACATTCTTTTTTGCGACATATGTTTTCACTATCCCCCATATATTTTCTATAGGATTAAACTCCGGATGGTATGGTGGTAAACGCAGCACAGTATGACCGTGCTGTCGTAATATTTCGTCTATCTTGTACTCTACAAATCTCGCCTTGTTTTGCAGAATCAGTTCATATAATTGAGGCTTAAGCAACGTGGATGAATGCTCAATGTTTCGCAATGTCAGCCAGTCAATCATTTGCTGTTTTCTAGAATTACTATTCGGTGCAGGATTTTGTATTGAGTTATGATATGGTGCGTTGTCAACAACAACAACACTATTTGGTTGTAAGTTGGGTATTAATTGAGTTTGAATCCACCTTGAATAGTTGTCATAGTTCATATTGTCGTGGTAATCTCCACTTTTTTGGTTGGCTTTAAACATAAGCAATGCATTTGGTATAAAGCCATCCATACCACCGGCATGAACAATGATTAAGCGGTTGCCTTTCGATATATGTTGCTTCAAACCTGAAGTGCTTCCATCTGACCAAGATTTCGAGAGGGTATGTGATGTATGTATATATGTTTCGTCGGTGTAAACAATTGGTCGGCGTTGTTCACGATATTCAGCAATTTTCATCAAATAATTAATTCGCAAGTATCTAATTTCGTGTTTTTCCATAAGAAGTTTCCGGTTATCTTCTGTTTGCTTCCAATTAAAACCTAATGACATGACGTGTTTTCGTAACGTGCTGACACAACCTTTATAATCGATATCTTCTTTTAATTTTGCGTGCAAAGTTTTCAAAGTGGGAATTTCTTTATTTGTGATGTGGAAGTCATGAATTGTTCTTCTGATAACTTGCTGATCAAAGTTATCGATTACTATTGTAGGTTTACGATTCGGTTTCTTTTTAGGAGATTTAAATGTTACTTCCTGATCTGAAGGTCGACATTTGCTTTCTGATACTACCTTTCTGACGGATGCTATTGAAATTCCCGTTGATTTAGCAACTAATTGAGTGGGAGTCATAATACTGCTCGGGTTGTTATTACACTCATTTTCGAAATATTTGTACAAACAGTACAAAACTTCTTTAGTTTGAGAAGTCAAAGGCTTGCCTCGACCATGTTTTAACACTGGAGCCATTTTTAATTAACAATATAAAGTTGCAACACTTACACACAAATTAAACACTTCAACAAATATTATAACAATAATAACAAACAATAACAACAATCAACAAATACAAAATTTAACAATTAACGTAATAATTATAATTTTTGAATGAAATGTGTGCTTTATGTTCTAACAGTACCAAGCGACTGACGCCGGACTGCACGTGGCACCTGCGGACAGCGTAAACTGGTTTATTCTGGTTTTGTGCGTGTTTCCACTTTCCACTATCAAGTGACGATTTTTTGCTTTAGATTGAAATATCTCGGAAACGGTGCGTCCTAGGCCAAAAATAAATTTTGACCCCCCGTAGACCCCCCGGAGTTTTAAAAACCTAGATGAAAGGAAAAAAAATATATATCGGTCTCTCCTCTTTGAAGTTTCACTTCTATCGTGTGTGAATCGCGCACACACCTTTTTTTTATAAAGTCAAAACCTTTTTTTTTAAATAAAAACTTGTTTTTATTGATAACAAAAATCAGAGTGTTGCTAGGGATAAGTATAATATTAAATAGTAATGTTAGGATATCGAAACATTTTTGTATAGGCCAGAACGATATAGTGGAAACGCGCTCTAAGATCTGAGTAATATACACACCACTACATATGCAAAAATTTCTCGAGACTAATTTCACTGTACTTATTTTTAAATATACAATTTATGTCCATTAAATTAGGTAGTATACCTAAGTCACAATTTAATTGTATGTTGTTAGTAGTTAAAGAATTGTGCAATAGCATGTTTAACTTATATCTAATTTTATTTTCCTTTGGTGCACCTTTGATGTAAGGAAATGTATACAAGACAATATTCTCTACATTAAGTGATTTTAATTTATCAATAAATGACAACATTATAGAGAAGTTGTAAAATGTGCATCTTACGCCGCAATCGAATAGGTTGCCAATCAAGCTTTCTTCGGAACTCCGAAATATGGTAAAATTTACGAAGTCCAAACATGAATCTGATGCAAACATTTTGTAAGCGCTCTAACTTATCAAGCTGCAACTCAGTTAAATCTGGATAACACACATCTGCATAATTAAGAATAAAAATTAAAAGAGAATTAACAAGAGAAATTTTAGTAGGGATAGGCAAAAAATTGCGTAACTTATTAAGCGCATGAGAAGAAGAAAAGATCCTCCTGCTCAGTTCGTTAATTTGGGGCTGCCAAGAAAGGTAATTCCCTAATTCCTAACAGTGGAGCAAAATGGAACGACAGCTGTACTATCTATGGTAATCTGGGGTAAAGTTGACCATTTAATTCTCCTTATATACGATGCACTCCCAATGATAACGAACTGGATCTTAGTAGGGTTTATCTGAAGACCATACGATTTACTCCATTCAACAACTCTGTCTAAATCAGAGTTTGCCTTCTGAATAGCAGAGGGCAGTTTTGATGAAAAGTGTGACTGATGGATTGAATTGTTGTCTTCATTTATTAGAAGTCCTGCAAATCATGTTGTTTTATAATAAGGATTATGATAGGTATTGGCTTTTGGCTTTAGTAAGCTTTAGTGGTATCACTTTGTCTAAGCTTGCTACTGTGGCATAAGCTTTGTTGAATAATCCTGCAATATCATAGGGTGCAATTTTTACAATATTTCTGGATTTCATAAACATTCCTTGTTATAGGCTCTCTTGAACGGCCCAAAAAATGTTACATCCAGAGGCTGTAACCGATGTGATGAATGAGGTGGAATGGAAAGCATTACAACATGGTTGGCTTTAACCACTTCCCAGGCTTCGAATGTACAATGGCTATTGTGGTTATCCATAATCAGTACAACAGGTTGTTCAGTGGTGGGTTTTGAGTAATCAATGAAGTGCCGCAGCCATTTAATGTATATGCTTGAATTCGTCCAACCATTATGAGAGCATGTGTAGACAGCTCCTGGTGGACCGTCTTTTTCTAGCTGTGGTGAGTGACGCTGTCGAGGAAAAATAAGGGAAAATAATAAAGAGGCGGAATGAACGACCCTGAAGCACTATATAGCGGTTACGTTTTTACCTCTTTCCCATGACGTGACTGCTCCTATACGTTTTCGACCCCTATAGTATATATAGGCGCTATATTTTTTTCTGTAGGTATCCTGAACCGTAGTTACGCCAGTCTCATCCATATTGTAAATGATGAAAGTAGTATTTTGTCATGACTTTTCCAAATTTTCGAAGAATTGATCCACTTCAGCTTTATTGAACCCAAGTATCCTATTGATACTTGTCTCTTCTGGCTTTCTAATACTTAGATCAGGATGTCGTTGAAAAAAAGCCACTCTGAATCTTTTTTTGAAGTTGCTATAGGGTATTCCTGTCTCTATTGATACCTTGACCTCGACACAAACGCAGTGTGCCGAAAAGGCCTGAGTGGCAACTGAGTAAATACGAGCTAAAGTTTCTGCCCTTTGGCTCCCATTACCGTCGGTTCCCCTACCTCCATTACGATTTCCGTGTAACTTAAATCGTAGAAATAACACTTGCTAACGATAAATTTATAACCTGATTTTCGGATTTTTTTATTGGATCTATATTGTATTAAGAGCAAAAAAAAAATAGGAACAAAAAACAAACTAAACTTATAAAGGATACATGAAAAATTATAAGTAAAAAGTGCAATCAAATTTTCCAATCTTTCCCCGCTATTTCTTTTATTTCATCTTCCCAGGTTTCTAGTGGGCGTCCTCTTGTTTTTCTTCCCACTGGCCCATTCCAAGTACTTATTCCTTTTTGACCAATCTGTCATCACAAACGCGGGCAATGTGACCGGCCCATTTTCACCTTTGGCATCCATATGATATATACGAGTATATGATAGAAAAGAATTGATCGTATTGAATATACGTTTAAAAAATTACAAATTTTTTTTTTTTACTCATTTTTATTTCTTAACTTTTTTGCAGGATGGAATTGTTATTTCAAACCTATTGAAGTTACAATCTACTTTTTGTATTGTAATTTGAGTTAAGTTCAGTGGCGGTTGTTGTATGGAGATGTTTAAAGCTCTTTGTTTGAAGCTGGGTAAAAACTGACTTTAATTGTTTAGAATATGAGCTTATAACTAACAAAAAATTAGGGATAGAAGGGTTGCGACGCTAACAAAAACAAACTTGGCTTATCTAAGGGTTAATAAATCTAAATGACACTTATGTGGTTGGACATTAACGGAAACGAGAATGAAATACAATTTATGAGTGTGGTAAAAACTAAAGCCATTTTGGCTTCAAGAATATTTGGTTTTCGCTTCTAATTATTAACTAAAATATTTATATGTAACTTAACTTATCTTGGGTGTTTGATATTTTTTTTGTTGTAAAATATGATATCTCTACTCTGATTTTTAATTCCGTAGAATTCTGACAGCTATCATTTTTTGACATGTCAGTGATGGCAAACCTTTTTTGGCCGGGCACAAAGGCAAAAGTTTAAATGGCGTTAGGTTGTATACATACATTTTATGTAAATGTAAAATCCTTTATTTGCCAAGATAGTGGTACAAAATAAAAAATCGAACAACAAGAAAAGTCCGCACAATCAGCCATATTTAAATAGGCATGCAAATGTCATAATAAGAAGTCAAGTCATTTATAAGTAATTGTTAAACTTATGTTCTAAATATTCGGTCACGCTATGCACCACAAAAAAAAACCTAATCACCTTCCCCTATTGTTAGTTAATGTATCCATTTTATTTATATTGGTGTGTGTGGCCTTTTATTAAGTATTTACATATGTGTGATGAGTTTAATACTTAAATGTGCTTGCATAACTTCGATTGAATTATTTGATTGTGATATGTATTTGGATTTAAGTTTCCTCTAATACTGAGTATTTCTGCACGTCATAAGTGTTGTTTATTAATCCCCAAGTTCCCTTTTTCTTGTAGGCTGCCTTTAAGATCTCCGGTATAGTGCACGACGGAATGCTGTTGACTAATCGGATAAGTTCTGGCGTTTCCAAGCCAAGGTTGGATGCAGTGACTTTCCTCTTGGTTTTTCCTGCTCTCTTTGGGGGAAGTGTAATTCCTAGAGATAACTGAGATATAATAGAAGCTGAGTTAGATGTTGAAAGTCCTAAAGCTTGTCCTCCATGATACGACTTAGAGACTTCTATGATAATAGACTGTGTAGATTCTTCATCACACAGATTCTCCTGCATCATAATATTATCTGTCATACAGGATTCTGAATATTGAGCCGACTCTGATATGTCCGGAACTTTCAAGACAACGAATGAGCTGTCTCCTGCTTTGGACACCTTATAATTGGAAGATGACGTCTGATTAATCCAATTCAAAATACATGGAATCTCTCATGCTCATCCGGCTGAAGATTAATTGAGAAGGTCGGAGACTTCCCAGGAAAATAATGAGATTTCATCTTTTCTATGGCTAATTTTATTTCTGACTTCTCTTTCTCTAATACGGATGACGTAGCTTCATCCTCATGTAAATCATCTTGAGTCTCAGAAGAGTCATCAGATGTCTGTACATGGACAACTGGTTCCTCAATCTCAAACTCTTCACCATCATCATTGCTCTGCTTATCCCCCTTTAGCCAATTCAATCCGGCAGTAGCTACTTCAGCGACTGTAGTCAACACTGAGCCCATTGGTTGTGAAACTCCTTCTGGCTCATCCTCAACCGACTCCTTGTAATCTTTTTGAAGTTTCCCTAGATACCCCTTAGCATCTAACTCGATGGCTTTTTTATACGCTTTAGAATTTCCGTCCATTATTTGAATTGTAATTCTGTTATACTGATATGCAGTACTGATCTGAATTTGCGTGACTTTATCGTCGATTTATATGTAACGCCGACACGACCGTGTTAAACGTTACATGTTTATTTTTCTAATTAGCATCGGATAACATTATTCTTTTATTGGGATTTTCAAAGATTTCAAACTATACATTATTCTTATATTCACACTGCTGATATTTGACTAAAATATTTTCATCAGTCGGCTCCTCACACGTTGCGAGATCATCATCAATAGCAGAATTTTGATCAAGTTCTTAATTTCCTATGGGCAGTATTTTATTCAGAGCTCTCGCCCAGATATACAGCGGCACATCATCTTCTTCATTATCGTCGTTGTCGGCGGTAACATGGAGATTGGGACTGTCTTGGACAAATCCAGCGTGTTTATAACAGTTGAGAATCGTCAACAACAAAAGACTAATTAATTTGCGATATTTGTTTTAAAATAAGTGTTGTTTGATGATTTGCTATTTTAAAAGAGTACCGAGAGTTTTTTACGCCGGCTTTTTCTCTCGGCCTACACCCTCTGTCTTCTTTGCCGATGAGTAGGGATGCCTACAAATTGAAATTTAATGACGTGGAATAAGTGATACATGTATCTTATGTTCCATAATAAACATATTTTTTTTTTTAATAGGGACTGGAAGTGAGGTCCATAGCTTAACTGCAGAGACCTTAAAGGAGTCGCCAAGAAAGGAGGAGTTATGACAGGGGATTTCAAGGATATAGTTTTCGGAACAGCGTAAGCTATAGTTATGGGATCCCAAAAATTTCGTATCGTCGTTGTAACAGGACAATTATTATTTGTGAAATTCCGTCGTTGAAAGCGGTCGGTCGTTGTAAGCGGAGTCGCAATAAACGGATGTACTCGTATTTCCATGGTTGCTCATAACAAAACCAAACGTATGCCTATGCCTGACGTCGCTATAAACGGTCGGTTGTTAAATGCGTACTAAACGGACTACACTGTATATATAAACATCGTGAACAAAGAGGTGTGAAATTAGCTTTTTGCTCGCGATTGGGATTTAAACCAGAAAACCAGAAATAACGTTTTCGACTCTATCAGACTGATAGCTATTACAACTGTGAGTATTAATTCAAAATGAGCAGGTGTGTTTTTGATTCCCATTTGGTTACTAAGCAATTTTCTGTATTGGTCATCCTTGTGGAGAATTCTGGAATTGAGGCTCAGTTTCGATGTCAGACTGCGTCATGACAACAAACATGTGGCAATTAGTCTCTTTGTCGGAATATTTAATTGTCGAAATTTATGTTTCACTGTCATAATTTCCGGGATAACTGAAGCATTTGGTGATTCGAATGGTCTATTTAGTATATTTGCTGCGCTTTCCGACCTAATTCTATTAAATTTTTGTTTTTTTAAAGTTTCGAGAACATCTCTTACAAAGGTTCTATTTCTAATATTTGTGATACTGAAGCGGTCTTTTAGCGTTAAATTATCATGCTTATTTGATATTGTCCAATAAAGAATGCTTTGCTGTTAGTAGATTTTCTTTAATTAGGTTAGGTTTATAATATGCTAGTAAACAAACAACTTCTTTTAAACTTTTAGATTAGTCGTTCGAATCTTTTGCTGAGTGGACGTGTGCACGGAGTCATTGCTAAGTTAATTTATTTATTGTCGTTTGGAACTCGGACTTATTAGCTGGTTACTACGGCTCAAATGGTTTACAATTAGCTTTTTGTTTTTGTGCTGTTTTGCTTATTACACCAAGGACAAAAAAATCGCGAGTGTAGTGCACAGCGGCCCCCCTCACCACCTCGAGGGAAGGAAACAGAAACTATTTTTAGCCTGCTTACACCAATAGGCAAGTATAGTTTAGTAACGAGTCAACACGCACATATTTTATAATGAGTGTTTTGCGTTCACCAACACATGCAAGTGGCGGTTCACAACCGGACTTGTCAAAGTTGCGTAGTATGGAAGCGGACTATATAACAAATCGCAAACGAAAACAACCACTTGATCATGAATGCAAGTGTTTAAACGAAATTAAGTCTGTACGTTCCGAATTGTCCCACATAATATCACTCTTAGAGAAAAATAATGAATCAAATGAGCAAATCATGAACAAAATGCAGAACAGTATTGCTGAGGTAAAAAATCAGATTACGGAAATTAGATCATCAAATGAGCAAACAAGAATAATAATTCATGAAAATATTTCGGAAATAAAATCTCAAATAAATGAAATAAAAGGATCTTCATCTAGTATTAACAAAGAACATACTGAAATTAAAAAACAAATGAGTCAATTAGAGAAGAAACTTATTTTAGGAGAAAATAAAATCAATACTTTAGAAACCAGTGTGAATAAAATGAGTCTTACTGAACCCCAGACATCTTCAAAGCTTATCCAACCAATGTTTAGCGAAGAATTGATTCAAGAAGTAAACGAACGAAATAGAAGAAAGAAAAACATCATTATGGTTGGGCTACCAGAACAAAATACCAATAATTTAAGAGAAAATATGCTTAAAGACGAAACCGATATATTTAATATATTCCGAGCACTTACAGAAGATGTTCCGAAACCGATAAAAATTATTAGGTTAGGCAAATATAATCCAACGAAAATTCGTCGAGTTAAGGTATTCTATAACTCTTCAGACACAGTCAAATTTCTTCTTCAAAACAAAAGTAAGCTGCCTTCAACAATACAAATTTTCTCAGACCAAACTCCAGCACAGCAAAAATTCCTAAAAAACTTAAAAGAAGAATTGCTCCAACGTCAAAGTAATGGCGAAACAGACATAACAATAAAATATAAAAACGGAACACCATTAATAACAAAAACTTCATCAAAAAACTGATAATTAAAGAAGCAATACCGAATGTAAACACATATCAACTGCTCGACAGCTACAACGACTTACAAAAAACTAATTTCAGACTGTCATTCTTTTATCTAAATGCTCGAAGTATTTGCAAACAAGGAAAGTTTGATGAACTACAATGCGTGCTTAAATCGTTCTCGACAACTATACACATAATATTACTAACTGAAACCTGGATCAAAAATGAGAAACAGGCTTGCGAACTAAAACTACCAAATTACACACACTATTACAATTTTCGTACAGATACAATTGGTGGTGGAGTTTCTATATATGTTCATAACAGTCTTGAGCACAACTTGTCAGAATCAATCTACCAGGATGGAAATAATTATCTTTGGGTACAATTAAAAAGATATAAAATAGAAGTAGGTGTCATCTATTACCCTGGTAATACTAACTACAATCAATTCCTTGAAGCATACACTCAACAGCTTCGGAGAAGACGCAGAGCTATAGTTTTTGGAGATTTCAATACAGATTTATTAACTAAAAACACTAAATCTAAGCAGTACATTGAACTTATGAACGAAATTGGATATACAATACTCAATAAAATATCTAAAAAGTATTCCACAAGGGATTCAACAACACGAAAATCTATATTAGATCACGCTACAACGAACCTAATAAGAGATCACTTTCACATGGCTTTAATAGAATCTTCTATGTCAGACCATAAACATATATATGTAGAGTTAAAAACTGTCAAGATTCTGAAGAAAGAAATTATCGAGTACCAAGCGATCGATTACGAAAAATTGGGAAAATTAACAACAACTCTTGGACTTGACGAAGATAATGATGACTACAAGATACTGGAAAATTCTATTATAGATCACGTAAACAACTGTAAAATAATCAAAAAGAAAATACTTAATGAACCTCAAAAGGATTGGATTAATAATGATTTAATCAGCGAAATAAACCAAAGAAATAAACTATGGATAAAATTAAAAAACATGCGTGACTGTGAAACTACGAAGCAAGAATTCGAAGACTATAAAAACTATGTTTGTAAACGCATTAGGGATACCAAAGATGCCTATTACTTTCAAAAATTCATAAAATTAAAAAATAATCCGAAAAAAATGTGGAACCTTGTAAATGACCTAGCAAAAAATAAAACAAATACTAGCTGTGGGCCTTCGAAAATTATAATAAATTCTATCGAAATTACTAATAAAAACAATATTTGTGAGGAATTTAACCGATACTTCACTGGAATAGGTAAAATTCTGGCTGACGAAATACCAAAAACCTATCATGATAATTTTTCAAAAGCTTTACCTTCAACTAAACAGTCTACAAACTTGATGTTACTAGAACCATGTAGTAGTGACGAAATTTTAAAAGTAATAAATAATTTGGATACACATTGTAGTGCAGGCCTGGACGGTATTAGCACAAAGTCTATAAAATGTATAAAAGATCATATTGCTAAAAACCTATCTAAATGTTTTAACAAATTATTAGAAATTGGAGAATTCCCAGACTCTCTAAAAATAGCTAAAGTTACTCCCATTTTTAAATCTGGATCTAAAACTAATACTGGAAACTATAGACCAATCTCGGTGCTACCCATAATAAGTAAAATACTTGAAAAGATATTATATAACCGTCTTACAAAGTATCTAACGTCTATAAATTTTTTATTTGAACGACAGTATGGTTTTAGACCAAAAAGTAATACTTTAACTGCAACTATTGACTTAATTACTAAAATTAGGACCAACATAGATAATAAAAACATTACGTTAGGTGTATTTATTGATTTAAAAAAAGCATTTGATACTGTAAGCCATAAACTATTACTACAAAAGCTTGAATGCATTGGAATCAAAGGCACAGCTCTCAAAATTTTTCAATCATATTTAAAAAATCGATTTCAGGTAGTTAAAATAGATAATACTCAGAGTAAACCATTGCCTATCGAATACGGCGTTCCACAGGGTTCTATTTTGGGTCCATTACTCTTTCTTATTTATATAAATAACTTGCATGAAATTGGATTAAACGGTCACCTTACTTTATATGCAGATGATACGTGTTTATTTTACTTTGGCAGTTCAATCAAAGATATCTTCAGCAGAGCCCAAGAAGACCTTA